TCTTATGAAATGATAGAGAATCTTTTCCCAATGGTAATGACACCAAAAGTACGAAATTTGGTTGAAAACTCAGGGAATTACGCTCCCGCGAAGTTACCAGTCTCGGCGACATATATGTATCGGCGATTTCACCAACTTTGAGCCCTGTTTTTGGCAAATTCCATTGTTCCAGTTGACCAAACTCATAGCTATTTCTTTAGAACTCCATTTTTTCTATCAATTGAGTACAAGAAACCGCCCATTTACCAATTTGAACTACCCAATAAAGTGGTCAGAAATTGGCAATTTGGCCAATTTCATGCAAATTAAAAAAGATGCCAATTTCAAAATAGGGTCCAGAATAAAAAATGTAGACATTCTTGGCAAAAAAAATAACATATCCTCTGTTCATTAGTCATGTCTCTAGGCCCCTCTTATATTACTATTGCTTTCTATTTTGATTTTTTATTCATACAAAAAATACAAAATTTACTGTTATGCAGACTACTGCATTATTGTAAAAATGGTATAAATAATATCAGTGCATTAGTGAAAGAATATTAGACTCCCCAGTTGATGTGTATTGGACGTGTGGTGTGATTTGTTTACTCTTGAACATGGGTAAAAATCTAACATTTCGCTACTTGGAGCTCAATTTCAAGGTTGTTTTCATTGTGAAACTAATCAAAATCATCTCTATTTCTGCAATATGTTTTCCATTTTATCATACGAGACCATGAAAACGAGAATACAACGATAAATACTATACGAAAATACACCTCAAAGTTGGCGTTTTAATCCAATAAAACGTTCAGTTTTTTTTTCTCATTATGCACTGCGTGCTGCAGGATTTTTTTTATGTGGTGCACACTGACCACACAGACCCATTCTCTCACATGTGGGCCTACCAGCTTTCTCCTGCTTGATTTGAAGCCGCTAGAATTATTGAGTATATATATGTCTGAAACACTGGCTCGTAAGACATATATATACAACCACAGCAGTCAAAGGGTTAATATCTGTCTTAATCCCATCTATCCCAGCCACTTTACCCACTTCCATACTTATTCTACCCACATCCTCAGGTTCTTCCTCACTCGTATACAATGTTATCCCTCCCTGACCCACACATGAAATCACCACCTTCTCTTCGTCAGTAATATTGAACATTCTTCAAAATATCCTTTCCATTTTTCATGTTTCTCAGTCTCTCCTCTTTCATTTTTAACTAAATCTATTTACTCTCCAGGCTTCTTCACCTTATTGATCTTTCTCTCTTATAAACAATTTCTTATTTTCAACAAAATTTGCTCATACAGGCTCTCCCATTCTCTCATTAGTTCTCATTAAGTATTCCCCCACAACTATTTTTAGCCTGTTCCTTTCCATATACTCTTCCTTCCATCTGTTACTATTACATTGCCATAAACCTCTCATATGCAAGTTTTTTTTTGCTCTTACCGTCTTCTTTTCCTCATCATTCCATCATTTGTTTCTCCTACCCCCTGCACCCACCTTCTCATACTCACAAATCTTTGCTGTGCACTAGCAATGCATTCCTAAATTTACCCAATACCTCCTTGAATATGAAATATTATTAAATTTTAAAAACTTAAAAACATGATGTAATTTACAAATTTAATAGTAACCTAAGGAGTTGCATATAAAAATATTGGGGGAAATACCTGGAGCCCACATTGTTTTGTTTGAATTCATTAAGTTAGAATTTTTTAATTCAATTGGCAGACTGTTCTCTAATTTTGGTTCTTATTTGCATTGATTTTCTGTTGAGATTCAAGTGAATGTGAGTAATATCAAAAAGGTATTATTTTCAGGTGTGATGCCCATGGGTTCCTTTACAGTTTTTCAGGAAGTGTTTTAGGTCAGCATCATTACAGTGTATGTTTTACAAATGTAGAGCAGCAGTGTTAAGTATTAATATTTAGTATGTTCAGGGATTTGAAAAAGTACATAGTGCATTGACTGTAATTTGAATTTGTGGTAGTTGTGATAACTGCCTTGTGTTGTGGGATGATTGGTTCAAGTTAGATAGCTAAGGTACAACCCCCAGGCACAAATTCTGTAGGTGAAGTATGAATAAATGAGAGAAGTAATGTTAGCAGTGTAGATTGGATAACATAATAGTGAATTTTGGAGATGAATGGGACATGATGAGCTGTTGGAGCGTGAGCAGGGTAATATTTTGTGAAGGAACTCAGGGAAACCAGTTAGAACTTGAGTCCTGGAGGTGGGAAGTACAGTGACTGCACTCTAAAGGAGGGGTTTGAGATATTTACTGTTTAGAGTGACATCCAGACTGTCTTACCTGCGCACCTCTGGCAAGACAATGATAGTGTAAATGATGGTGAAAGTGTTTCTTTTTCGGGTAAAAATGTCTCAGTGGGAGATGGCCAGCATGTTAAAAAAAAAAAGTGTACAATTTTTGATACTTTTCTATATGAACTATATATAATTAATTTTTTTACTTGTGAGCTGGCTTATAAACTTACCCTTATCTTTTTTTGTTTACCTACAGATTCATTAAGTTTGATATCTGTGGAAATAGTGCATTTCCTAAAGTTATATACAGTAGAAAGTTTTTTCTGTATTTGTGAGTTTATTTATCATCATCCAAGTATAGATCATTTTTAATGCATCATTAAATACAGTGGTACCTTGATATTTGAACTTAATCCATTCCAGGAGATTGTTCGAATAGTGAGTTGTACGGATATTGAATAAATTTTTCCCATATGAAAAATGTAAGTTAGATTAACCCGTTTTTCGTTAATCCACACTTACAAAAGTTTTTCCATTTCTTCAGTTATCTGTGACCTTTTCACGGCAAGAATTTTTACTCCTTTCACCACATCAGCTCCTTTATTGCCTCTTTATTTTTCAATATGGACGATATGGTGGATTTTACCATATCATATTGAGTGGCCAGGTCCAACACATGTGTTCCACTTTCCCACTTCACAGTGAGTTCTTTTTTTTACTTTAATTGTTGTTCTCACTGCTTTCCTTTAAGGCTTGTTTGGATCACTGCTCATTTTTGGGGCCATGACTACTTATTTTCAATGAAAATATTTGAAAAACACCACAGAATAACAATGAAATACCAAAAAGTTTCATGGAGCTTGTGTGAACAATGCTCAGTGAAGGAAAGCTGACAAGAGACTGAGCTCGTGATGCTTTTTTTTTTTTTTTTGCCAGACTTCATCCAGATCGACCGTTTTGTTTGGGTCGAACATTAGGGCAGCGTTCAAATGCCAAGTCAAATTTTTCTCAAAAAAAAAAAAAAAAAAAAGTTGGGCGAATATAGGGACATACAAATATTGAGGTTCCACTGTACAATGTTTAAAGTCAGGAGTCAGAATATAAGCTGTGCATTATGTCATCAGCAGAGAATACTGGGTTAAGATATTGGGTGGTAATCAGTAAGTTATTGATATATTGGAGGAGGATAAGGTTCCAGAATGGTACAATGGGAGACGCCTAATCAGATAGTTGAGGAAGCATTGAAGTTCTGTTCGATTGTGGGCTGTTGTTCGATAGTTAAGTAGAATTTGAAGCAGTGTGTGTCCTCTTAAGTATTTTTTGTTTTTGCACTGTAATTTCTGCTTAAATGTGTTAAGTGCATTTGCTGATTCTCTTTTGCAGGGATGGATTACATGTACAGCCTCTCCTCACTTAACGATGGAGTTTCATTCCTAAGACTACATCAGTAAACAAATTCATCGCTAAGTGAGGAGCATACTATAATGGTATTGGGTTTGTGTCAAACATCTTTGATATTGTTGTAATGTCATCTTTCCATCATTTATAACATTTCTGATGTATTTTTAAATGTTTATACAGTAGTGTTCTGTATACAGGTTTGTGTCAAACATCTTTGATATTGTTGTAATGTCATCTTTCCATCATTTATAACATTTCTGATGTATTTTTAAATGTTTATACAGTAGTGTTCTGTATACAGCCTCTCCTCACTTATACACAAATAACCCGCACATGAAAGAGAGGAGCCTACGACGACGTTTCGGTCCGACTTGGACCATTTAATACAATGGTCCAAGTCGGACCGAAACGTCGTCGCAGGCTTCTCTCTTTTATGTGCGGGTTATTTGTGAATCGTTCCAGTCACAGTATTGTGCCTTTTTTTGTTATTCTCCTCACTTAGGTACGTGCTTGTTTACCAAAGCCTTGGACTTATGACGGGCTCTCTGACCAGTATTCATACCTAAATAGTGTATATTAGAACTGATTTCCTCTATTCTGCTTATTTCAGTATACAGTACACTACTGTATAAACATATATATATTCTTTTCTTTCAATGTGCCAGCCGTATCTCACTGAGGTGGGGTGGCTCAAAAGGAAAAACGAAAGTTTTGCCTTTTAAATTTAGTAATATATACAGGAGAAGGGGTTACTAGCCCCTTGCTCCTGGCATTTTAGTCGCCTCTTACAACATGCATGGCTTACGGAGGAAGAATTCTGTTCCACTTCCCCATGGAGATAAGAGGAAATAAACAAGAAGAAGAACTAGAAAGAAAATAGAAGAAAACTCAGAGGGGTGTGTATATATATGCTTGTACATGTATGTGTAGTGTGACCTTAATGTAAGTAGAAGTAAAAAGACGTACCTGAAACCTTGCATGTTTTTGAGAGAGAAAAAAGACTCCAGCAATCTTGCCATCATGTAAAACAATTATAGGTTTGTGCTTCACAGTTACATGGAGATATACCCAGGTAATTACATAACATAATCATTATTCTTTGAGGATTTGTTTTTAGTGCTTAATTATGCCTGTGACAACACAGTGTTTTTTGTATGTGGATAAATGTATTTGTGGGTTTCTCTTTTCATCTTCTCTTTTATCTCCCTTTTAGTAATGGATCAAGTGTTGTTCATGGTTCATTATGTGAGTGAAACTTTGACCAATACTATGATTCATGCTCCTCAACTCTGAGTCTTAGTACAAGAATGAAGATACTCATTATAATTTCTTTTCAACAGGTATCTCTGGCCACTTTTGCAACCTATATTAATTTGTCTGAAGAAAATATTTTGGATGCAAAAACAGCATTTGTCTCCCTGTCTTTGTTTAATATTCTACGGTTCCCGATCTCTATGTTACCTATGCTTATCTCCAGTATGGTACAGGTAAATAAATTCAGCAAGTTTATGGCATATAGATATGCTTCAGCAATGACACAGCAACCACTAATATTGACATATAAGCAAAGCTCCCTGTTTGGTCAAGTATGGGGATTCACAGCTAACCCACAATTTGAAGAGGAAATTTTACGCAATTGTGAATTGTTCCAGCCATAGTATTGTGAGTTTTATAATTCAAATATTGGGATAATTATTGTATATTTCTTCAGGGAATTTACAACATTGTAGTGATTTTTTTCTAGTATCATATCAAAGCTGTACTCATACAGTAAATGTTAACACTGAGGTATCATTTAGAATTCTTAAGTAATGTTGTTGCTTTAGTTCATGTCATAATATGGTATAATACATGAATATTCTGAAACCTTGCCCTCTATAGATGACCATTTTTCCCTATGTTCCTTTAACTGCATTTACCTTTATCTTGCCACCTTTCCTCTTAATTTCACTATCCTTCATTGAGGAAGTAAGTATACCATTAGAAATTCTTTGTACTTTTGTCCTATTTCTTAGATACCTCTAGGAGGAATATGCTATTTATTAGATGCCTTAGGAGAAAGTTATTATTTATTAGGTATTCTCCCCAGGAGGGAGGTAAGTAATGTACTATTCCTTACAGTGCTCATTGTTTTTTCACTTTGTTTTCAAACCACTACACTAAGAATTCCCTTTTTGTGCTGATTTCCGTCATATAATATTTGTTATTGTTTATAAGGTAAAAGCTTCATATAATTGAGCAGTGTAGTGTCTCTCCTTTTTTTTTTTTAAAGGGGAATAAAGCCTTGCACAGACCTGATAGCTGGAGCAGTAATCAGCAGAACTGCTATACATCAAACTGAATAAACATGTTCCCTAACATGAGATACAGGCAGGCTCCAACTTACAGAGCTTCACTTTACAGTGTTTCACTAATACAGAACCTAACCTGCTGTATAAAGCAGAGCCCTCCTGTAATGTACTGGATAATCTTGGTTAAAAGTGCACCTTTATTAACATTTTGGAATGCTACTTTTGGAATGTATTATCCTCAAGGTGCCTTGATGAAGGTGAAGGGCTTGTGATTCAGAACACCTGACCCTCTCTCTCTCTCTCTCTCTTGGATTGAACCTGGTTACCTCCCATTCCCTGGTGCTGTATGATTCCTGTGGGTTTAGTGTTTCCCCACAATTATAATAGTGACTGTTATGCTCTCACTAAAATGTAGTACAGTGGAACCTCAAATTTCTAACGTATCGCTTATTGAACTCTTCGAAAATAGAACCCTTTTTTCGAACCAACTTTGTCCCTATTATCGAACTCGCCCCTATTTTCGAACCACTGGGTACCAGACCTGTCCGGCAGCCCACTCTGTCTGCGTCCCCATGCAGGTGCCGTGAGCCAGTCTGGTTTTGTTGATGCTTGAGTGAACACTAGCCTGTGCTCTCATTCAAACATTTTATGATTATTTCATTGTGTTTAGTGCTTGTGGGACTGTGAAATAAGCTACAATAGGCCCAAAGAAACTTGCTAGTGGTGCCCCTGTGGTAAAGAAAGTGAGAAACACCATAGATGTGAAGAAGGAAATAATACAGAAGTGGAAAAATGTCCAAATGTTTGTGGAGAAGTACCACCCTGAGCAAGCTGAAACAAGCCATCTTTGCAACAAGTTCAATGACAGAACCATGTCCCATTTTAGGGAAATCTTAAAGAGGCACCAGAAACAGAGAACTGTGGACAGTTATTTTGTGAGACAGGGGTTCAGTGACTCTCAAGCTGGTCCTAGTGGCATAAGAAGACAGAAGGGAAGTAACCCCAGAGAGGGCTTTGATACCTAAAGTCCTCATGGAGGGGGATTCTCCTTCCAAACACTAACCCCAACTCCCTCTCTCCACCTCCCTATCTTCCAGATGCCATCACCAATCTTCAATAAAGGTAAATAAAATGTTATTTTATATGTTTATTTAAATTTATTAATACATGTATAGGGCAAGGAGGAATAACATCTTGTAGGAGTGAGGAAGAGTCAGTTGTGCATGTGGGGGAAGTTCGTGAGGCAGTAGGTAAAATGAAAGGGGGTAAGACAGCTGGGATTGATGGGATAAAGATAGAAATGTTAAAAGCAGTTGGGGATATAGTTTTGGAGTGGTTGGTGCTATTATTTAATAAATGTATGGAAGAGGGTAAGGTACCTAGGGATTGGCAGAGAGCATGCATAGTTCTGTTGTACTATAAAGGCAAAGGGGACAAAAGAGAGTGCAAAAATTATAGGGGGATAAGTCTGTTGAGTATACCTGGTGAAGTGTATGGTAGAGTTATTATTGAAAGAATTAAGAGTAAGACGGAGAATAGGATAGCAGATGAACAAGGAGGCTTTAGGAAAGGTAGGGGGTGTGTGGACCAGGTGTTTACAGTGAAACATATAAGTGAACAGTATTTAGATAAGGCTAAAGAGGTTTTTGTGGCATTTATGGATTTGGAAAAGGCATATGACAGGGTGGATAGGGGGGCAATGTGGCAGATGTTGCAGGTGTATGGTATAGGAGGTAGGTTACTGAAAGCAGTGAAGAGTTTTTACGAGGATAGTGAGGCTCAAGTTAGTATGTAGGAGAGAGGGAGATTATTTCCCAGTAAAAGTAGACCTTAGACAAGGATGTGTGATGTCACCATGGTTGTTTAATATATTTATAGATGGGGTTGTAAGAGAAGTAAATGCGACGGTCTTGGCAAGAGGCATGGAGTTAAAAGATAAAGAATCAGACATAAAGTGGGAGTTGTCACAGTTGCTCTTTGCTGATGACACTGTGCTCTTGGGAGATTCTGAAGAGAAGTTGCAGAGGTTGGTGGATGAATTTGGTTGGGTATGTTTTTAATACTTGACGTGCTGTTGGAGTGTGAGCAAAGTAACATTTATGAAGGGATTCAGGGAAACCGGCAGGCCGGACTTGAGTTCTGGAGATGGGAAGTACAGTGCCTGCACTCTGAAGGAGGGGTGTTAATGTTGCAGTTTAAAAACTGTAGTGTAAAGCACCCTTCTGGCAAGACAGTGATGGAGTGAATGATGGTGAAAGTTTTTCTTTTTCGGGCCACCCTGCCTTGGTGGGAATCGGCCGGTGTGATAATAAAATAAAAAAATAAATGTAAAAGAAGAAAATTAAAAGTGAATACAGGAAAGAGTAAGGTTATGAGGATAATAAAAAGATTAGGTGATGAAAGATTGGATATCAAATTGGAGGGAGAGAGTATGGAGGAGGTGAATCTATTCAGATATTTGGGAGTGGACGTGTCAGTGGATGGGTCTATGAAAGATGAGGTGAATCATAGAATTGATGAGGGGAAAAGGGTGAGCGGTGCACTTAGGAGTCTGTGGAGACATAGAACTTCGTCCTTGGAGGCAAAGAGGGAAATGTATGAGAGTATAGTTTTACCAACGCTCTTATAAGGTTGTGAAGCATGGGTGATGAATGTTGCAGCGAGGAGAAGGCTGGAGGCACTGGAGATGTCATGTCTGAGGGCAGTGTGTGGCGTGAATATAATGCAGAGAATTCGTAGTTTGGAAGTTAGGAGGAGGGTGGGATTGCCAAAACTGTTGTCCAGAGGGGTGAGGAAGGGTTGTTGAGGTGGTTCGGACATGTATAGAGAATGGAGCGAAACAGAATTACTTCAAGAGTGTATCAGTCTGTAGTGGAAGGAAGGCGGGGTAGGGGTCGGCCTAGGATAACTTGGAGGGAGGGAGTAAAGGAGGTTTTGTGTGCGAGGGGCTTGGACTTGCAACAGGCATGCTTGAGCGTGTTTGATAGGAGTGAATGGAGACAAATGGTTTTTAATACTTGATGTGCTGTTGGAGTGTGAGCAAAGTAACATTTATGAAGGGATTCAGGGAAACCGGCAGGCCGGACTTGAGTCCTGGAAATGGGAAGTACAGTACCTGCACTCTGAAGGAGGGGTGTTAATGTTGCAGTTTAAAAACTAGTGTAAAGCACCCTTCTGGCAAAACAGTTATGGAGTGAGTGATGGTGAAAGTTTTTCCTTTTCGGGCCACCCTGCCTTGATGGGAATCGGCCAGTGTGCTAATAAAAAAAAAAATAATTGAACACTTTATTTGTTGTGTATGTAAAACTATAATTAATCTCTATAAAATGTATTTTTTTGTGAATATTTTTGGGTTTCTGGAATGGATTAATTTTCTTTCCATTATTTCTTATGGGAAATATTGCTTTGCTTTTCAGACTTTTTAAATTTAGAACTAACTCATGGAACGGATTAAGTTCGATATTTGAGGCTCCACTGTACGTATAAGACAATCACTTCAGATTTAGGATACTGATACATTAGTTTAATTATTTTTTTCAACAAACCAGCCATATCCCACCGAGACAAGGTGACCTAAAAAGAAAAATGGAAGTTTTTTTTTTTTTTTTTATACAGTAGAAGGGGTTACTAGCCCTTTGGTCTTGGCATTTTAGTCACCTCTTGCAACACACATGACATAAGAAGGAAGAATTCTTTTCCACATCCCCATGGAGAATCATTCTTGTATAATACATTTAAGTGTATTCATTCCTCATTCAAAAAGGGTTTAAGGGCATTTTTTTTATCCATTAAGGATAAATAAATATGAGTATATGTAAGATAACTTGTCATAATTGCATGCCTGCCAAGAGACAGTACAGGTATTCTGTAACATAATGTTAGGGGACAACCTGATAATTGTACAGTTCACATTCAGTTTCTTTATAGAATATGTATGTTTAATTTGAGCACTGTGTTATTATTAACAACATAATTTGATCACTTTGGTACATCTTTAGGAGCCTAAATGACATTGCAAATTGCTAATTATTTATGGTAACCTTGAAGTAATAGTTTTTTATAGTATTCATGAAATTACAGTTTGTGGAAGTAGATTATGCTTCTGTTTAGGATAGATTTATACAGGACAAAAAATATTTTTGTCTTATTTTTTTTTCATGTTCAAAATGGAATAATGGCACTTTTCTGTTTTCTCT